GTGTTTTTATGTTACGAGCAAGTTCGAATGAAGTAATAGAACATATCTGTGCATTTGGTTGAGGTCCCGAAGGCCTCGGGGTGAATTAGGGTGGTTAAACGAGAGTTTTGAGGTGTAATTGCAGGTCAGATTTTTCTGTCATCTGGTGTTTCCGCTTCTGCGGAAATGGACCGCAGAAGCGGTACCGCAGAAGCGGGTACGTGGTTGCAGAAGCGGTCGTGGCCGGCTAGGGAAATTCCGCAGATGCGGAAGGTGGCTCGCACCAGCGGGTCCGCATAAACGGACAAGGTGCCGCAAAAGCGGGTTTGAAGGAACCGCAGAAGCGGACTTCGCGTCGCATAAGCGAAGTCCGGGCTTCTAAGTGAAAACCGCTTAAGCGGAAATGTGGCCGCAGAAGCGGTCCCGCATAAGCGAAAGCTGGACCGCAGAAGCGAAAATCGCTGGGCGACAGAAGGGTTTTAAAATGATATTTCATCCGCGACGCTTTCGTATTTTTCCTCCATTATTGACGTTCTTAAGAGCTTTGAACAAGGAAATTCGAGGGTTTTGACTGAGAATCACTTGGAGGTAAGTTCCTTGGCCTAAATATTCGAATTTATGGTAGAAATTACATGTAAATTGTAGAAAATTCATCAAAAACGGGTCAAGCTAGGGCTTGGAAAGCTGTGATGTAAAAATGGAATTTGGAGGATCAAACGAGCTCCGATTTTGGTAAACTTTATATGCACAGACTCGTGGCGAGACGAGGAATCTGTTGGTGTGATTTTCGGAATTTTTCGAGAAGTGGGCCCGGGGCTCGGGTTTTACCAACTTCGTGAATTTTAGTACTTTTCGAGTATTTTTGATTGGGTTATGTTTCTTTAACCCATATTTATGTATTCGTTGTGATTTTGACTAGATTCGACGCACGAGGAGGTCGATACGAAAGGAAAAGGCATTGCGGACCATTCTACGGCCGGATAGAGGTGAGTAGTTGGTGTATATGATGGCCTGAGGGTTTGAAACCCCGGCTTATCACATTGTGACGCTATTGTAGGGCGTGACTCGCACCCCATGGCAGGTGCGGGATTAGTTATGACTGGGGATTGAGACTCAATCCATCCCGAACAAGAATGTTTCTATATTGGCGACTGATACGCACCCTGTATTGAATATATCTGGGCTTATTGCCGTGTTTGGGGCCTTGTGCCGATCTGTAGCATCCTTAGAGGATGAATGTCATTGTGATAGCATGCTTTGTATAATCATTAATCTCAGTCCTGTGTTTAATCACTGTTATGAAATGCTAAGTCACTTTTCCTGAAGTTAAATATCTAAAGTATATTCTCCTTAATAAATTGGAAATTGGGAAATTAATTGAATATGTTACGTGACTCATATGCATATTGTGGACTGAGTATGGATCGGGCTGCACGCCGCAGCGAATGGTATGATTATATTGCGCTTGGGCTGAAGGATCCCCTCCGGAGTCTGTACACGCCCCTAGTGAGCGCTGTCGACGTTAAATGGATCGGGCTGTACGCCACAGCGTGTTCATGTGCATTGCATTGCATCATTATATTTTACTTGACTGTTATATTTGAAGTTGTTTTGATGTTGGTTCATAGTAAGGTGTAGGACTGTTAGTGTTAGCTTTGCTTTGTGGTATTTCGTGGATTTCTTATCTTCAGACATTTTATATGCTTATTACTCACTGAGTCGGTAGTACTCACCCCTACTCCCTACACCTTGTGTGCAGATTCAGGTACACCGGAGGCTTAGCTGAGCAGTCCTTGTTTTCCAGAGCTATTCAGAGTTGTTGAGGTAGCTGCTTGACGTTCGCAGGACCTGACTACTCTTCCTATTTCAGTTTTAGTTATATATATACATTTCCAGACTTGAGTATTTTCGTTCAGATATTGTTATTCAGATTATTTAGAGGCTCTAGACTCGTGACCCCAGATCTTTTGGGAGTGTTTTATTAGACTTCGTATTTCTCAGTATTATTCTTCGATAAATTATTGGATTGTTATTCTAAAACTATTATATTCTTTTTAAATTGTCGGTTTTGAGGTTTACGGTTGATTTGGGAACGACTGTGGTCAGGCTTGCCTAGCAATTGTGTTGGGCGCCATCACGACCGGGTTTGGGTCGTGACAGTATTCACGCTATTTATTCCTATTGCTGGACACTTGTATTTAGAAGTTTTCTAGCAAACACTTTGTAGAGCTTATGACTTGTACTACCGGTTTTTGGGAACTGTAAATTTTAAGAGATTTTTATTTCAAATTGTTATATTTTATCTCAATAATGTTGTTGTTTCTATTAATGTTAGGCTTACCTAGTCCCTAACACTAAGTGCCATCACGATACCTAACGGAGGAGATATTGGGTCATGACAAGGTGGAGTTAATCTAGTTTTCAAAACACCAATAGCAGAAGTGTTACTAGAAACATTATCTAAAGTAATAGTAATAATTTTGTTAGAAAGTCCATACAAATCGCAAATTTCTTTAATTTGTTTAGAAATAAAAATACCAGTATGTTGGTCATCAACAAATTTATAACCAATAATGCGATTTTGCATAATCTAGTTGTTATCTATCCAATGACATCTAACTATTAAGTAATCATAACCATTTGCACTACGACCTATGTCAGAAGTAATAGAAACTCTACAATCTAAGTGAAAAATTAAATATCGTAAATATTATTGATATTCACGTTGAAATTTTAAAAACATCACTTATAACAGTTGTTGTAGGAAAACCATGAAAAGCATAAGTATATGTTTCTTGTATGTAACGAACAAACCCATCGGATGACGAAAAACTAAAAGGCAAACCCTCTACAGCAACCCATTTTGCTATATTTTCTCTATCCTTTTTTTAGTCATAATGGAGAAGACCTCCTGTCACAGGGTTAATTTGTGGTTGTAGAGTGTTAGAACTGTGCCCCGATTAAGTAGGATTTGTTTTAGAACGGGACCCCCTCCCTAGCAAGACAAACATCTTTGTGCTTAAGTTACATATTCTTCGTTAAACCTCCCGTTCCGCCATGACCAGATTTATTTTTAAAAGTTATTTGTTGTTTACAAAATTTACAAATATCCTTTTCACTAGCCTTATCATGCGTAAATCATTGCCAATAAATTGATCTTTTTTACGTTCAACTGGTTGTCTAGTGGGAGGTAACAGAACATCAACTCTCAACTGAGATTGACTCTGAGTTGGAGCTGCAAGAGCAGGACTAGTAGGTGTTTCATCTAAGTTCTCTTCTTCCTCATTAAAAATATCAAAATTATCATACTGCGCTTGTAGTATTTCGTGATATAGTATTTGATAATTAACATTAACATCATATTATTCAGATGTTTCATCTACGTAAGTGAAGTCGTCAACATGAGTAGGAGTACTAAAGCTAGTATTACCCTTAGTCAATTTTTCAAACATGTTTTTTACTAGTTTAGGAGCGCTTCTAACTAATTAATTAATTAAAATTAAAAAATAA